GTGGTATCTTTCATTGATATGTGTTCATTACTAACTTGACAGGAAAATATTCTTCTTCTTAGATTTGATTTTAAAGTTAATTAAATCTTGTTTATGCAATATCTTAAAAAATTTTTATTGATGCATTTTTTTGTTTTGCATTGATGATAAGTTTTCTTCATTACCCTGATTTGGTATCTTGTTTTGGGATTGTCTAGGATTTCCTAGGATATATTAGGATATATTATCTTATATTAGGACCTTTGAAATAATAGTCATCAAAGAACATTTTAAAATAAACAAAATCAGTCATTAAAGAGATTTGCATATAACAAGTAAATTAAATATGTGAAATAATGAATAAAGAAAATCTACTTTTGAACAAATCTGCAGGTAATTATGTAGCATATATTCCAGATAATGTTAAGTATAAAGAAGTTAAGCATAAGCATAAGCGTGCTAGAAATTCACAAAGGTTATCTAAGTGTATACAGAGCTTTTGAGTAGCAGAAGGCAAACGTAACAACTGACAAAGCTGATTTTGGTACAGAGAATGAAGCATTGTCTCTTTGGGAAAGTTTTGTGTTTGTAAAACTTTTAGTACTATAGGACTTCAATCCATGGCTACATTTCCTGGAAAATATAGTGTTGCAAATAGTAAATGATCTTCTTAGGATTATTTAGGGCCTATCTCAGTGCCTCTTGGTAAATATAATCTAGGGGTGAATTTGGCAGAAACTAAAATCCGGAAAGCTGAGGTGCAAGACTCCAATGAGTGACTTGTTAATTGCTGGCTACAAATCCTAACAATAAGGCTGGAATTCAGCTGCAGATTTTAACAAATAAATTAAGGTGTCTGTAGTATGTCGACATGTGAGCTAGAGGTGGGATTCAGTCTGAGAGTAAGACACCTTGTGCTTTGGTCTGGGTATATTAAAATCTCTCTCTGAGCTCGATGTCTAATCTCCCATGACACTCAGTAGAGATGTAGGATTCAATTCATGCACCTACAAATTGGCACATAATGTCATTTGCATGGAGGCTGTCAGATATGATACAGGATGTAGGGGAGACCTACGCTCCTCTAGGTGGCAGCTGGATGTCTAGTGGGATGCCCTAAGGGAACTCCAGTGATGTTCAATACCTGAGTTTAGGTAACTGAACTGAGACCAAGGTGTCTGGGGTGAGATGAATTGTTTTCTAGGCTCTGTTGATTCTGTTGATTAGATCTGAATTGATTGTAATGGGAGCTTAGATACCTCATGTAGATGTAAACAAATTTGTCTCAATGTCTAAATATGGAGCTGAATTTATTCCTAACTATAGCAAAAAAATTATGCAAACTGTACTTTAGAGAGACAGAGACAGAGGGTTGCAGTCAACACAGACTGGTTTACTGCATGTCTCTGGCTTATCAACGTCATGTGTATCTGTAAGAAAAAGCAATATTGTGAGCAATGATTTTTTTAGATTAATTCACTCAGAGAAGAAAAAGCCTTTCCACACGTAACTGTGCCTAACTGAACTTCCTTGAACCACTTACTCCAACATCCTAAGGAAGAAAATGACAGAGGTATATGTGCCATCGTATGTGTCATAAAGAGAAACTGGCAGCTCTCAGTAGTGGCAGATGAGGCTTGATTGTCAGTTTGGTATTTTCAGTATTCTTCTGTGGCTTAAATTTGTACTGGATGAATTTGTGCTCCCAGATATATTTAGCATATGTTAATGAGCAATTAGCATATTTTAACAACATAACATTTTGCAAGACCCTGCAAAGCAGTAAAAGGCTCCTCTAGATAGCTACCAAAGCTCAGATGATATATTCATGTGTAACTACATAGAGAAATTGTTGGTGCATGTTGACAGACGGACTTTGTTAACTCCAAATAGGATAGTAGAAGTGTTACACTGTAGAGTACTAGAGGCTGGGTGAGGTTCTGTGCAGAATCTTAAGACTGGAAATACATATTAGACTGATCTCAGTTTTCAGCTGAATTAATAATAATATCAAAGCCAGAATGATAAAACATTTGGATTATCTATGGTATTTCTAGATGACATAAAAGCAGAATGGAAACTCTTCTGACTTACCAATCTGCTAATCTATGATCATAAATAAATGTCTCCACAGGAAGACTAGAGCATGAGTTTAAAATTTTTTTTCCTATATGAGTATTCAAACTTGTCTAGCACTACAAGGTGAAAATGCTTGCAAAGAGATGAAAGTATGGCTATATCTGCATATTATTTTACAGAAATACAATTCAACTTAGGGTTGTAAAGTGGTCATTTACAGCAGGAGTATGTATTCCTTAGAAATGATAAGGTATCATTTAGGACTATTTTCAAACAGTTTTTATGATATGGTGACATGCTATACAAGAAAAATACATCCCTTTGGACCTATTGTAATCATCCTTCTAGTACTTCCCAGTCACCTTCTTGGACAGGTCAGGTTAGTCATCGTTCTTGTTTTATGTTATGTTACGTAGATATAGGAAGGTTTATGTATCACCCAGGTTAGCAGATGGTTACGTGTGAGCACAAAGAAATGGAAAGCATATTTCTAGCTTCCATAATCAGCTTTGAAAATCAATGTAGACCTATATTATATCAATAACCTTTGTCTCCAGAAAAAATTATGGCTTTTCGTTAATGTTTAGAAGTTATGAGTGTTTGCAAACTTAACAGATCAGTGAAACATGCTTCAGAAGAGTTTTTTTTCCAGAGACTTACGCAGATGCTTTTGTGAAACTTTTAAAGATGCCACAGTAGCTTGTAATACTACACTAAGATGTAGTCAAACAGCTGATTGATTAGCAGCAAAGTAGTAAAAGTCCACATGATGCATCAGATGCTGCCATTCTTGTCTCAAGAAAGGGACAGTAAGTTGAGACAGTGGCTGGGGACCTAAAGGGACAAAGGCAGCAGCCATTGTTTTTGAAGCTGCTTGGGAAACTGAGCTGGAGCCAGCTGCCCTTTTAGATACGAACTGTCTCAGTTTAAGAATAACCAGACATCCTGCATGTCACATTAATTGAAAAAGTATAATATGTCACCTTTTCAAATCAGAAGCTGACTCCCTGCAAAACCACAAAGACACCACTGCTGGGCCAGTTACACTTTTCTAAAGGGCCAAAGACCTTTCTCAGTTTTAGAAATAATTAGGTCATTGATGAATTTGTTGTTTAGCAAAAGTGTGTGGTTTGGGTTTAATTAACATGTACGGATATTTTTGGTCTGATTAGAAAGTTATTTTGGCTTAGGTACAGAATGCTGACTTCTAACCAGATTGTTTATTGTCAGAGTTTGCCACTGTAGAAATTACTAGCCCTAAGAATCAGCCTTCCAAAGTAGAAGCTATTTTTGAATCATTAAAGAAAGTAAAACCTCTCAATAGACAGTAGCTAAAGTCTGAATTTACCCCAGAAAACAGTTGATTGATATGGTACCCAACACAACTTCCAAAAAAACCCCAGCATTATAAAAAATCTAAGTCTATTTGATTTTTTTCCTAACATTCCAAAAGAAAGAGTTAATTTTTAGTGAAAGCAGCCTAGTTCTGTCTTTAAAACATAAACAGTGCAGAGCTCCCAACCTGAAAATGAAATAGACCACAGACAAAATAGAAAATTGCTCCACTGGGATAGATTGTATTTTAACAGGTAGTCCTAAGTAAGGAATGGTGAATAGCTTCATGGTCCAAGGAAGATCTCATTGCTCCCAGGGCAATAATTTGCTTTTGATACTAATGAGTAGCAAGTTCTGGAGGTTTGCAAATATTGTAGTGGCCTGACATGTTAAAAGAAGAAGAGTTAAAGCTCCTTTTACTGTCTTTCCCCATTTACTCTTTACAATTTTATTATATCAGGCAGAAGTTTCCAAGCTGTTTTTCACACTGTCGTACAGGAATAGGGATAAATATACAGACAGCTATGCACCTGGATACAGGGCCTACTCTGTTTTGGGGGAGGCATTTAATGTTTCAGATCATTGCACCTGAGGAAGCAAGGAGCATCATGGAGTCAGGGCTGAGTATGGAGCCATTTGTGTGTTGCAGGTTAGCAACAGACTATTTAGCATGGCATTGCAAACCATCAGTGGTCTGTGGCTTACAGTCCATAACTTAGAAGTTATGTCTATATTAACAAGCAGTGCAGTGTAACAGAAGCAGATCTGCAGAAGGAAACAATTGGTGCTGAGGACCTCATGTTCACACTGTATATATTTCATGGGTTGTTGTTTGGACTAGCTCTAGTCCCATGGTCAAATGTCTGTAAAGAGTTGGAGCATATTTTGTACAGTCCTGAAGTGTACCTTATGCCATAGATCCATCCAAAAGGAATCTGGTTCTCAAGCTCTGTGAGGCATCTCTGCAAGGCAAACCACAGCCCATTAGGTGGGGTCAATCCAGAGATTCACTTCAAAAGTACACACCTGGTACAAATTAATGTAGATGTATTCCATGAAAACTCATTAAGTTTGCTTTCTATGTGTATTTTTCAAGCTGACATTTTTCTCCTCAGCTTTTAGACATTTCAGTCTTGTAATATCTACGACAGGCCTTCATAAATTGAATGAACAGCACAGGGTTGCTTTAGAATGCTGTGCGGTTGGTATTATTTTGTAAAGTTCATTATACAGGCATCAGCAATCTAATTGTTTTGCAAGACATACCCAGCAATGCAGCTGGTGAAGAGCACCATTTGCTGTCAAAAAGATGATTGCAATTATTATATGCATGGCTGTAAAACCCAATTTCATTTTGAATTAAATTGATTAGAATTGCGATATGCTTTTTCTTCTAATCAAGATTAATCCAGATTTTGGAAGGAAATAATTTTTAATTCACCATAGCTTGTCATATAAAATGATTTTTAGTTGTGGACCTTTTTGGCTGAAAAAAAAGCTGCAAAAGGGGAGAAACACTAAATAAATCTATTAAATGTCAAGTAATAAAAATTATAGACAAATATCAAGTCTGTATTTTATACTCCAAACTTCTATTTTTCTTGTAGCCCAAGCAGCGCACATCAATAGTATCTTCTCTGGAATTTCACCGAATGAATCACAGCCATGAGTATTTTGAAATCAACTCATCCATTGGCTGTACAAGTTTTATTTCCACTCCTGCAATCAGTCCAGCTAATTATTCCTTTGGATCTGTGGAAGACAGTGTTGAAGAGAGAGAGCTTCCAGGTATAGAAAAAAGCTTACTTGCCTATCAACAGAGCTTTATGAAACTAGAGGTCTGTGGGTTTTAGCTGGAATTATTGTAGTTGTCTTATAAACCATTACTTTCTTTAGATATTACATAATAAATCAACTGAGAAGGATTCACAATTTTACTATGGAGGTTTTATGTGAAACCAATGTTTTAATATTATCTATAACTTTAATTATAGCAGTAGTACCAATTCTGCTACTAACTGCTTTTTGGTAGTGAAATACATTTATCGTAAATATACAAAATTATTCTGTATTTTTTTATGTTGCTTAGTACAGGGGTCTCATAAAACATGACCAATATTATTAAAATATACTTTTCCTGAATGTTATATTCTAAATAAACCCAACTCCATTTTTCCAGAAATACCTGGAATGTTGGTATTCTAAATCCCTCAATATGAATAGAGAAAGGGAAATTTCTAACTAGCTTGGCATTGTTTTTGCAATATTAATAGGATTCATTAAAACAAAGTTTTAATATATTTACTGCACCTGTAAGTATGCATAGCGTGGTAGTGCGCTTGTAACTGTGAGGCTTTTATCTATGTGTAGAGGTTTACTTATGAAAATGCCTTAAAAGGATTAATTAAAATATTTTCTCTTCCCAGGGCACAAGTTAAGGAGCAAAGAAGTGCATGCATTTAGCGACTTCTGTCCTTTCAAATATCATATGCAAATTGCTTTATTTAGGCTAAAAGCTAGTAGAGGAGAATAGTATTCAGCAATGCCAATGTACTGAAACAAGTCTTTGAAAACTAATTTACATGCTTTGCAGATGGAGTTATTTCTTTTAAAGTGTTACTCTATATAAGATATAAATAAAAATAGATTACTATAAAATAGCAATCAATTTAAAAGTAGAAATTCAATAAAAGCTTACCAGTTGGCTTCTGTAGCACTGATCCTCAAATGAGGTGAATTCTATGCATTTCTGGTTAGTAGAGTTTAAAAATTCTGAAAGCTATGGAACTTGCTGCTTTTAAATTGTCATTAAAATTTGAATTTCATAGTTAGATGAAAAAAAAACTATATTGTTAAAGAAATTCCTTGAAATAAATTAAGAATGAGAAATCCTATCTGTTATGATGGAGAAAGAGTTAAAATAGTCAAAAAGGATTTATATTGCTTTTTCTGGTCAGGCTGTATCTTTATCTTTCAAATAAAAAAAATGCTTATACGCATGGATATAGCAAATCTTTTCAAGCATAATTGTAAATGAATAATTTGTATTATTATTATTAGGAATAATTTGAGTAGTTATTATTATTAATTTGAATAGCAGCTCTATTTGTAATGTTGAGGTTCTCTGAGGTTTTTTTTATTGCTTTTGGTACTGTAAATTCTCTTCAGTGATTAGAATTTTATTTTAGATAGTTGAATGATTCCAAATATGGCTTGATGTTTAAAAGCAAAAATAAGAAAATAGAAAGAAAATTCATTGGAGCTGGATAACAAACTTCTCTAATTTTCTGTTGTTCTAGAGTTCTGGTTAAACTCTTTACAATATCTGGATTTGCTTTAATTTTGTCTTGTATGGTTGCCTTTGCAACAGATTATAGTCGGTAACTTTTAATCGCTGCAATTTGTTTGGTCTGAACCTGAGGTATAATTTGTGCTTGCACTTTTAATATGTGGATGATTTGATTTATGGATTCAGTGGAAGCTGAATTCCTCCTTGTGTCACTGTCTATAAAGCTAAAAGAAAATAACAAAAGCAAAATGCCTGGTTCTGAAGTTCTGGGCATCTTTTATAAGTTTTCCAAGAGTATAGTTTACCATAAGTAAATCAGTAATTAACCATCAGTAAATGAAATAATGTTAGTATAACTGAGGATGGTTTGTACGCTAGAATTATTTAGGTAACATACGGCATCACAAATTAGCAGCAATCTTAGTCTGAATGAAAAGGCTAAGGTTTTATTTTGCTCACCTTTTGCCTCCTGAGTAATAGATGATGCTCTGTGTTTCTGCAAGAGATAAAGGACACGTTAAAGTATAAGGAGGACAAAAAAGTCCAGAAAGAACACATCAAAATTGTCTCACTTGGAAAAGTTGTTTAGTATTTATTATTCACAGTGAATAATGAATACTGAATGCCTTCTTTGCCTCAGTCTTTACTGATAAGACAAAGCCCCTGTGACCAAAGGGGAAGTCTGAAGCAATGAAGACTTATCCTTGGTGGAGAAGGATCAGATTAGGGAACATATAAACAAATGGGACATACACAACTGCATGAGCCTTGATGGGATGCACCTATGAGTGCTGAGGGAGTTGGCCAATGTCATTGCAAAGCCACTCTCAATTATCTTTGAAAGGCCATGGCAATCAGGAGAGATGCCTGAGGAAGAAAGGAAATGTCACCCCTATCTTTAAGGAGGGCAAGAAGGAGGATCTGGGGAACTACAGGCCAGTTAGCCTTACCTTGATCCCTGGGAAGGCGATGGAGCAACTATTCCTGGATGCTTTTTCCAGAAAAATGAAGAACAGGAAAGTCATTGGGAATAGTCAGCATGGATTTACAAAGGGGAAATCATGCTTAACCGACATGATAGCCTTCTATGATGAGATAACTGGCTTGGCAGATGAAGGAAGAGCAACGGATGTTGTCTACCTTGATTTCAGTAATATTTCATCATTGTCTCCCGTAACATCCTCATAGACAAGCTGATGAAGTATGGGCTAGGTAAGTGGTCAGTGAGGTGGACTGAAAACTGGCTGAACTGCCAGGCTCAGAGCGTTGTGATCAGTGGCACCAAGTCCAGTTGCAGGTCAGTCACTAGTGGCCTCAGGGCTCAATACTGGGGCCAATACTGTTTAACATCTTCATTAGTGACCTGGGTGACAGGACTAAATGCACCCTCAGCAAGTTTGCTGATGATACAAAACTGGGATGAGTGGCTGATACACCAGATGACTGCACAGCTATTCAGAGGGACCTTGGAAGGCTGGAGAAAAGGGCAGAGTGGAACCTCATGAAGTTCAACAAAGGGAAGTGCCAAGTCCCACAGCTGGGGAGGAATAAACCCATGCACCACTAGAGGATGGAGGCTAACCTTCTAGAAAGCAGCTTTATGGAGAAGGACCTGGGGGTTCTGGTGAACAACAAGTTGACCATGAGCCGGCAATGGGCCCTTATGGCAAAGAAGGCCAATGGTATCCTGGGGTCTGTCATGGTAAGATGCTAGTCATCTTCTAGATCGTCTGAATACACGATTGGTATACATTTTGTATGACAACACAAATGAAAAAATAGAGACCTGAGAATCGGGTGATTGCTTCATTAGTGGGATGTTCATCATGTAAGTTCTACTGTGAACAAAGACCACTGGATATGCAAGACCATTCACTCCAGAAGAGGGCAGTTAGGACTTTCAGGAAGATGCCTCTCTAATTTCATAGCTCTATGCCTTGTTATAGGCATCCCTGAAATTCTTCTGAAACAGTAAATCTTAAAGATCAAAGAAGAAAAAATTGTAGTCATCTTCATAACCCCAGCTTGGCACAGTCAAGGAAAAAATAATACTTGAATCACACCTTAGGGTTCTTCTAGAAGTGTCTTCAGATCTTTATTTAAAGCAAATATCTTATTCAGTTGTTTTGTCTCGAAAGCCTGATACTCCCAAAGGAAAAGTAGTTTTACGCTCAAAGATAAGCTTGCAGTTTAATCCTTCTCTTTGGGGAGATCCCAGATATTCAGTATATTCCTGTGGCTATTTAGATGTATTGCAAAAGGATCGAAGGATTAGAAGCTTGGTTCAGAGGTTTGGTCTAAAATTCCTGGCTGTGTTGAATTCCTAGATACAGTCAAAATTTACTCTGCTTGAGGGATGTTCCTTTATGTGACATTACCAAAGCCCTACTCAAAGTAGGTCACATATTTGTCAACGTTACTTTCTTATTCATATATCTCATTTGATAAGATCTGATTTGATAAGATCAAACTGTGATGTCTCATTAGACTTTTCAAGCCTTGGTTCTTCAATGTTAAATTGTTTGGGGCTTGCTAGCAGTGAAATACAAAATGAAAGGAATGCAGAGGAAAAAAGAAAATACCTTTTAGACGTTACCAATCCAAAAAAACTCCATAAAGTTTTTCCATTGATAGAGAAAGGGGGAAATGTTAGCATGTAATGAAATCAACATAATCAACAAATGCTGGTAATTAAAGCATTCTCATCTCCTGCATATGAACAGCTGCTCAACCAGGTAGAGAACATCTTAAAGAACTCTAATTACCAGACTGCAGCTGATCTCCATGTCATTGGCCAAGAACTCTCTTCCAGATGAAATACATGAGAAGGTCAAATTCAAGGCCTTTTTTCTCTCTTTTTTCATCCTGTTCTTGATTACAATACACCAAAATTTGCTAAGGCCTTTTCCAAACCTTGCTAATTTGAGCTTTTTCATCTGTAAAGATTATCTGGTTTTCCCCCCTCAATTTAGAGCCAAATTCAACTGCATGCAATTAGTAAGAAGTAGTAGAGCTGTTCCAGGAATTGGTACTGGGGATTGCACTACGTACTGTTTCAGGCCATTTCTTTTATGTGCCTTTACAGATGTCCAGGGGATGTAGCCTGTTAAGGTCTCCTTATGTTGCCTTTCTTTTTGCTGCTTCTAATTCCAGCCTCTTCTTTGCATGGTTATCTAAGCCAAATGTACAGTCTGAGAAAAGTAGGATTAACTAATATTATAAAACTATATTTGGTAGCTATTATTGTCTTTACAACTTCCAACTTCAAAATAATATACTTCACAAAGCTCATTGTAGTTATGTCAGTGTCCATTTAAGTCTCATTGTTACAAACAATTTGTCAACACTCAGTGTTTAATGTCCAAAAATCTGATAACAGAAAGAACAAGTAAGGAAATGCCTGAGAAGCTGTAGATGAAAATGACTCCTGTAATTCTATCTGAAAACAATATATCTTTTTGTAAGAAAATGATCTTTTGCAACAGTGATTATATGAAAA